AAAAAAAAACAAAAAAAAAATTGTAAGAATATAATGTTGAACAATGTTGACGGACGTTTCCGACCAACGGTTAATCAAGATTTGAATAAAGGTTGAAGTACGAGGATGGGACGAAAATAAGAAAGGTCTTTATTGCTCTGTAAGTCAACTCGGCTTGCGACACTGGTGGTCGGCACTTTGTTGGTGGATATCAATTCTTTGAGGACTATTACAAACTTTTAGTGAGAGAAAATATACAGATCTTTTGCAATTAAGAGGGTTGAGCTCTCTTTTCAAGTGAAATAAATGAGCTATTTATACTACCTCCAGTTTGGCATTGTTGAGGTACTGTTGATGCTGTCCCGTTGTACAATGTAAGGGAATGACAGACAGTGTCAGACATTAAATGTGGTCAGAGAATTGACCATGATGAATCCTGCAACATTAAATGTCAGCATGAGGCGCATTAAATGCTATCAGGTCTAGGTCTAGGTTCTTGCTTCTTTTGGATACAGCTCGTCTGAAGTGTCCCATTGGCGTGTCGTCGTCAGACACCCCGTGTTGCCTCGCTGACCGACCTTCATCGGTGGCATCCTTCTACTCGGCCTCACAACCGCCCGCAAGTCTACACTTTTGGCTGCTTGTCCCTCCCACTCGCGGGACCATTCATTTGGGTCGGCACCTTCCCACCTCGGCATCTTGACTTAAGGTGCCAAGGTGCGTGCTCGTCCTCCGAGTCACCTTTGCTGTGTTTGATGTCTTTTAACGATTCGGTGCGGTGCCGAGTTGGGGTCGGCTCTTTGGCTGGTCCGAACCCACCGCCTCCTAACCCGACGGGCGGTTGAGATGGTCAACTCGGGCATCCACAAACATCACTTAAATTAAGCAGAATTACATAAACCAGTGTTTATAAATAAATCTGATTAGATAATATAAGAGGCAATTATCAACTAGTCACACAAACTATCACCGGCCAATCAAACACAGAAAAAATGTGTGATGAAATAAAAATACTTTACTGCTTACATAAGCCCTAACATTTTCTTCAGAGAACTCTGTACTCCGTGTAAACTTCCTAAAAAAAAAGTTGGGAGTAGTTTCTACGTTCGATCAATAAACATTTTTTATCATTCAATATTAATATATAAAAGCGAAATATAAAACGTCCACATCTATAGATACCAATCTACAGTTTCAAAGTGCATAAATCCAACAAAAAACAGTATCACCACTTACTGAAAAAGTGATAAAAACCACATACGAGTAATGTTGGAATATCACTTGTGAGTTGTCCCACATTGATTCTACAGGACTATTTTATATGCCTAGTGGGCTACTCCTCTCATCATCCATTGGTTCTTGGATGGAACCTCATTGTGGTGCACCTAGGTCCACCCTCTTATAGTGCGCTATCTAGTGGGACCGCACTCTCTTCCCTTGATTCTATAAATCTAACAAGTATAGCTGTGAAAATCCCTTCATACTTGAAAACCAAAAGCATCTAAATAACGACATATTTTAAATTTTTAATTCCAGTCCTCACTAATGTGCTTTACAAAACTGTATATGTTCCAAAAAGCCACAGAATATTCATATATGAAACAGATCTTTGTATGCAATCCCATACAGATAGTTACCAATAACCACCAGGAAAGCTAGAATTTGTGACCTCCAATTGTAAGAGGGAGAAAAACAATTCCACACACAAACATAGAAACCAATATCCATTGCAATTGCTCGTCAGGCTTTGATGCGGACCACAAAAGAACCTGCTCAGGACATGAGAAGAAGAATATTATCCTGTTTTAGTTGATGATAACATATCATGGATTAGCATCCAATAAATTAAAAATGACCTGCATTCAAAAAATTAAATTTTCTACACTTCCACCTAGTAACGACTGCATCTAGTGATGGGCCAGGCGTCAAATGTATTGGTATGAATTGCCCAAGTCCGCTTGCTAGTCAATCATTACGAAAATGATCGCCAAATCTAAATCTTCACTGTACTCTCGTTGCAGTATGTGTCGAGTTACATAAATATAGCTGAAGTATCTCACAAATAATTGTCCCATTTGATGTCTTTAAACTCAAACTTTATATGTTAGCATACAGCAGGCTAGTAAACTAATCATAACTTTCAAAACCACAGAAGAGAGAAAAAGTGGAACAGGATGAGGTAGGAAGAAAAAGAAAAAACGGAGAAGGTATGAGTAAATACTCCTGTTGCATTTCGATGGAATTAAAAGTTCTAATTGCGAAAGAAAAAAATATAGTATCCAACCCTGATGAATCTTCAAGCCTCTACAGGCATAACCCCGATTATATACATAAGAAAAGACAACATAAGGAAAAATTAATTTAAGAAACCAGCATTAACCAATGCCTTTGTTTCATTGAATGTGTTTCATTATACTAATAAAATGATGTCGGCTCACTGAAAGCTTATGCTTGACCCTATTAATAACTACCAAATCATTTCTCTGTGGGAGTGAAGCTAGTGGCAAAATAGAAAGAGTTGGGTACAGCCGTACAAGATGTACAAATAGCACGTGCAAGGTGAAAAATATAGATAGTTGGAGGCTAGACCATATTTAACAAAATAACTAGTAGGAATCTAAATTAGTTATAAGAGAATTTTAGAAAACAATAAAAACAGTCCAGAGTTTATATTCGTCGTTGAGAAATTGATTAGACACTTATTAAGTCCCAATGGAACTACAGTGCATAGTTAATGGATATAGATTAGTTCATGCTTATAGATTCACAAAGATAAAGAACAAGAGAATGCTAAGATTTCATCAAGTATGAGGTCAATTGAGAAATCAAAGTCGGCACTTTTTAAGTCCCTATGTATCTACAGTGCAGAGTTAAAGAATTAGTCCATGCTTCTAGATTCACAAAGATATAAAATACGAGAGAATGCTAAGCTTTCATCAAGTTTCAGGCCAATGCCAGGCAGTATTGTACATGGTCTGCCATTAGCTAAGGCTAATGGAGAAGGTCTGCATCAGAAATATTAAAAAACAAAATAAATAGCTCAATAATGTGAACACTGGTAATGATAAGCTCACATGCAGGGAGGTTGGAGATATCTGCAGAAACTGCACATGGTATTCCCAAGTTTGAAAGTGCCCCCCTTATGATGCCACAAGGAAAGTAGAGATGCAAGCCAGTTGCTTGTGCAGCCTCGTTTTCTGCCATTGCCGAAGGATCTTGAACAGAACCGGATGTTACCAATGATGGATCAACCGACATATGCGCAAGCCAGCGGAACCGATTATCTTGTAATACAAAAGTACCCTATAGAGAAATAAGATCAGAAATCATAAACACCACATCACATTGAATTAATTCACAATACTGCTCAATGCATACTCTATGGTTTGTCTTTAAGTTATCAATCTGCTTCTTGAAAAGATCGGACCAAAAGTCCTTGCAGATAAACTTAATAGCTTCCAGGTGATCCGTGAACCTTGGTCGATCCATTGTGTACCTGACATGAGTGAACAAATTTTAGGACGTGTATCTTCAACCACATATCTGGTGTCAAGGCTACAAAACTCATATTATAAAGCTATAATCTGTGGTTCATGAGCCTCCAAGTTCATGGTGATTGTGATATTTGGAACATATAATCCAACGCTTTATAATGTATAAAGCATTCTCTCACATAAAGAGGTAAAGGACAACTCGAAGTGGCAGAGTTCACTCCACTCTTTTGATGTATAGCCTATGTTTTAATAATACATGGCTCATCTAGCTTTTACTAATACTTTAACCATTACTACTTCAGATGGGAATGAAAAATGAACACCATCCAGATATGGGCTAGACACTTCAAACCATACATTCAGTCGCAAAAATCTAGTCACATTATTATGTTAAGTTTGATCTTGAAACCTCAAAAAGATCAATCTATTTTGCATTAATCAAGACAAAAAAAAAAGTCTACCTCCCACGATATGTTAACGAAATCCCCCGGGTGCACTGCCATCCTCCTTTCTTTTTCTATCCTAGAACTTAACAGTATACAACTTTACCCAACCTAAGACAGACTTCCCACCTCATTTCTAGACTAGGAAATTGACTCTAAGGAGGCCAACAAGAAAAAATCATCAGATCAAACTACTGTACTTTTTTCGAACATTCATTAGCCCGAGAATCAATCACTGCGTGAGTGCATTTGATCTATCCAACCACTCAAATTAATTTAAACCGGTTGTGTAGCTCCTTAATTCCCATCTAGCGAAGATTCTCCCAATTACGCTTCAGTTCGGAAGTAATTAGGAAAATACAATACCTTGAAACAACGTTCGTGTCTATAAAGCAAAGGAAGAAAAAACCTACCTCTCGGAAAGTCGGTGGCCGACCTGGAAGCCGATGGCTTCGATCCTAGGGGCGGCGAGGTCGGGCTTATTAGCATAGACGCCCTTGCAGTAGGACGACACTATCTCCGCCATCAAACTCTCCACACAGCTTTCTGCAACTTCTCTCACCATCCCCTTCCTCTCCATCTCCGCGTCTAACTTCACCCGCGATCTATGTTACACGCAGACTATTGGTAATTTTGAGGCGCATGTATACAATTAACATAAGTTGTTTTACTTAATTAGAGTTTTATCTTACAAAAAAAGAATTGATATGTTTATTTTGAAGTTGTATTTAAATAATATTTAAAATTAATTTAACTGTAAAAATATGAGAGAAATAATGTAAAATGGTGGTTATTTATTTTTTTTATTTTTGGTACAGGGACCTTCCGGTTTCCGAATCCACAGGAGAACCGACTAATATTGAAGATATTAAAACTAAAATTGAGTTAGATTTTGAGTATGAAATGGATAAATTTATAAACAAACACACCCACGCTTTATATTATATATGGGTATAAAACTATCAAACATTTTTACTCAATAAATTTGCAACACGTGTTTTTCTCAATAAAATGTTTCATCCACATTTATAATTTGTAACATTTCATCTGGATCATACAATCATCCACAAAAATAGTATGACCAATATGATAATTATGATTGTTCAATAAATTAAATCGATTTTGCGATGGAGCCATCGAATGACTCGGCTTATGCTATATGCAATCATCCAATGTTATTCACAAATGATGTACACGTAGCCTGCAATAAATGCATATTGGACATGTGTCAGTACATAAAGTTATGGATGACTCCATAAGTGAGTTATTCGATGCTCCATAAAATTTCTATAAATTCAAATTACATTTTACAAATTTTAATACTATAGATGAAGTTAAAAAATAGGTATAGTAAAATTGCAAAAGAAATTATCTGTTTTTCTTCTAAAAACTTATAACTTTGATAAATAACTAGTAGATATCTTGTGCACATGCACATATGTAAATAAAATATTATAAATAATATCTGTAAATTTAATATTAAAATTCTAGATAATGAACATATTACATTTTCAAGATTTGATTATTAGTGTAACACCCCACCTTACTGTAAAATCAGAGTAGCGCAATAATTCGCAAAGTCTTTGAAAATAAAACCTTTTTACTTTGCGAAAACTGATTCGGGGTGCTACCATGAAAAATCCTTACTTAACTTAGAAAACCGTTGTTTTAACTTAATAAAAACGTTCGGTTACTGAAAACTTATTTTCTTAAAAGTTTGTCAAAATATGATAAGATCGTCAAAACATCTCAAAAACATCATCATAAGTCATCAAAAGATAAGCGGAAGCGTAAGTTATAAGTATATTTATACAGTCCAAAAACATAAATAAATATCCTGAGGTCCCGTCATGCCCCGTCACGTCACGCTCCCTGCCCGACATCCTGACCTGAAAAACATGAGTAAACTGGGGAGTGAGCACTAAGGCACTGTGCTCCGTGGAAACTCATACTAATGTAAAACATCGAAAATAATAACAACATCATGATATCGGTATATAACCTCAACCTCAAGCCGGTAAAACTGAAATCGTCACTCAAAAGTGACCCTGAAAACGTCATGCAACATGACCCTGAAATTGTCACTCAAAAGTGACCCTGACCG